TTTGGCAGGCCCAGGCTGGATTTGAACCTGCCACCTCTGATGTATGTAGCTGGTGCCCTAGTCACTGAGCTACAGGTCCGAGCCAAATTGTGTGATTTTTAAATGTAGGTTATATATCTATATGTTTCCAAAAGAAAACATCTGGGAGAATGCATGTCAGCCGATCTGTTAGCCTTATTATCTGGGTATATTTCCTTGATTTCTTAATCTTCATTTGCTTATATATATTTTCCACACTGTACATATACAACTAATGTATTATTTTAACACAATTTTCTCTTTCATAAAGTAAAAGAAAGTCAGTGAAAGTGAAAGAAAAAATTAGAAACAAGAAGTAAACAGAAGTCACCACATATGGGGGAAAGCAGTGGTTCTGGAAAACTGTTAAAGAAACCTGAACAGAGAACTAGGAAAAACCAAAGAATAATGATAAGCATATTCATACCTTGTTTAATGATGTTTTGCTTTATTACACCTTAAAGACATTGCATTTTCTTTTCTTTCTTTTTTTTTTTTTAAAGAAATTGAAGGTTTCTGGCAACCCGCATCAAACAAGTGTGTCAGTGCTAAATACACCCAATAGCATGTGGTGACCTTGTATCTCTGTGTCACATTTTGACAGTTTTTGTAATATTGCAGACTTTTTCATTATTGTTATATATTTTGTAGTGATCTGTGATCAGGGATCTTTAATGTTATTATTGTAGTTGTTTCGAGTGCCACTAACTATGCCCATATGTGATAGTGAATTTAATCAATAAATGGTGTATGTTTTCTGACTACTCCGTCAAACAGCTACTCCCCCATCTCTCTGAGCCTCCTTGTTCCCTGACACACAATAATACTAAAATAAGGTCAATTAATAACCTTACAATGTCCTCTAAGTGTTCAAGTGGAAGGAAGAATCACATGTTGCTTGTGTTAAAGCAAAAGCTATTAATTGATTAAGCTTAGAAAGGAAGGCATATTGAAAGCTGAAATAGGCCAAAATGTACACTTCCTGCACCAAACAGTTAGCCAAGTTATGAATGCAAAGGAAAAGTTCTGGAAAGAAACGAAAATTGCTACTCCAGTGAATACAAGAATACGGAAGTGAAACAGGCTTCTTGCTGATATGGAGAAAGTTTTAGTGGCCTGATTAGAGGATCACACCGCCACATTCCCTTAAGCCAAAGTCCACTCCAGAGCAAAGAGCTAATTTTTTTTCAATGTTGTGAAGGCTGAGAGAGGTAAAGAAACTGGGAAGAAGAGATGACAGAGAACAAAGGCATATGCCTTGTAAGGGAGGTGCATGTAGACCTCAGGGGTAAAGCTTCTGAGACCATACGTGGCAAAAGATCATGGGGGCAAGATCCAGGGTTGGGGTTTGGTGCAGTGCACATATGGAGGTGAGAAAGGCAGTCTGGAGGCCTGACCTGTGGCCAAGGCTGAGAGGGTGATTTGTGCAATCAGGAGACTATGTGAAGTATGTATCTTATCTTAATAACCAAATACCTATAACTTGTGTTGATAATTATGTTGCTTGGTTTTTATGTTTTCAATTAGCTTATCAGCTTTATAAAATAAATGTCTTTAAAATGAGACCAATTCCCTACCCCTAAAGTATGTTATCAGCACAGCATCTGCTGTGGAGGTGTACAGGGAGGGAAATACATGAAACATCATCATGTCCACACTGTCTGCTTTATGCTTTTATTAAATTTAGGGGACAGATTTCTTTGCCAGATATAGTAAAACCTATGACATTTACATATTTTAAAATCTGCCTTTATTTTTAAAAAATAACTGTTTAAACAGCATACATTAACATACAATCATTGCAGAAGAAGTTAGAAACAACAGATCAGCAAATGAAGAATAATCCCCTATCATTTTATCACCAAGAGATACCAAATGTTCACATTTTATTATAAAGCCGGCAGATTTCTTTTGTGAATACAATACATTTAAATGTGTTCTCATCTAATACATTTCCAATTTTTCCAGGTGCAGTGGGTGATTGGATAAACTACTTTACTTCAAAGCAGAAGAGAGTATTTGATGAACTATTCACACAGAGAATGAAACACAGTGAACTGGCAAACCACTTTGAAGATTACTTTAAATAGAAATGGGCAATGAAACCAGTGTTTAGTTTATACAATTCCATGCTTGGGGAATACATAAAAATTTTCCTCTAATGTGGGAATCAGATTTTTTTTTTTTCAGTGAGAAACAGACACTTTATGAATGTCATGTCTAAGAGACTATTATATTTGGTGATAGCAGAGAATTTTTCATAAAAAGAAGTATAACATTTCTGAATGGCTGATTTGTATATCTGCTTTTAGGATGTTCAGTGTAGCAAGGTGATTACCTCTATTGAGAAAGAGCATATTATTTTAAGTGTTCTAAAAGCTGCATCCACGTATAATGATAGAGGTGAAGGACTTCAAAAACAACAAATGTCTGGCAAGAATTTATGTTCTGCCCATTTGAATGATTATGATCTCTAGACAAACATTTTTATTTCAATATTCCCTATTGCCTGTGTAGACATAGTCTCAAGTGCCATCAAAACTATAATGGGGGGATGGCCTGAAAAAGGGCAAAAATGTTTTCATCTCACAAAAACTTCCCCTACTCTTTTTGCGAATTAAAACCTGTATCCCTGCCTCAGGCCAGTGGCAGTGGGCATGTCCTTGGCTTTTTGTACCAGGAGATATGGCTAGAGAGAATTTTTCTAGCAGAGGTTACAAGATTGACTTAGCTAAATGAGAATCAGAACCATCTAATATGGTTGAATAACAAAAGCCTAAAGCTAAAAAACCTTCCCTTTAAAAGCTCTGTATTTCTGCTCAGAGGCAGGATATTGGCATTTTAAGATAGGAATCTGACAACCTTCTCAATAATGAACTTCTCTTTCCTTCTCCTCGAACCACTTGTCCTTACTTTTTTGGTACAGTCTTGGGGACAAGTCCCAAACTTTTGGTAACATATGATTCTACTAAGGTGGAAACTACTCATAGGTAAATGATGTGAAATGATCACATTCCAATATTTTGATGAGAAAGAAAAATGAAGATACTCTTTCACATTAACATTTTCTTGTCACAATTTATTTACTTTATTTTTAATCAAGTCAGTTAAATTACAAAATTTCTTATTTTTCAATTTTGAAAGCATAATTTTCTTTGAAGTGTTTATGATTCTTCATAGTATTTTGAATATGTATGCATTCTCCCAGAAGCATTTCTAATGGTAATACAACGTCTATAATTCTTTCTCTCCTATAATGAATATGTTTCTATAGCTTTAGCCTAGAGGACTCTGTAATGAAATTTCAGTAAACTTATTTTAAAAGTATTTGTTTTAAAAAAGAGTAATTATTACCTAAATGGTAATCTATAAATTAGGTCATATTGTTTACATTTGTCATAATATCTGATTAAAAGCTTAATGGGAAATAAAAATTTTATATTGTTTATGACTCTGAGCTCTGAACTTAAAGAAACTGGCTCAGTTAGTTATTTTAAATGCTTTGATTTTGTACCTTAATGTATTATGAATCTTATTTTTAGTAAGACCCCAAATTTGTTGAAAATCTTTTGTATCAGGTTTATCACAATTTGGTAAGAAATTAGATCTTCATAAATCTTATATATGTATATGTTTGTTGTAAATACAGTATATTCCTGTTGTCTTCAAGCAATTCAGTTTTTTTTTTTTAATTAATATTCATAGAATTTACTTGGACATCTCCTTTTCTTAAGTAACTGTGAATGCAAAATGCAAGTGAGTGTGATCTTGGGCAAGTCTTCATGTTTGAGCTAAAATCCTTTGCACCTGATGTTGGGGTTCAGGAAATGACAAAACCATCAGAGTCTCTGATGAGACTAGCAAGTGAAGACAACAATGACTAGTGTTAGGGGAACCAAATCCCATGAGCCTAGATTGTCTTTTTTCAACATTAAAATGATCATTGAAATTTAACAAACTGGAAGGACTCTATTTGATGACATTATAGGATTTCGGATCTATAAGGTACTTTTGGGATATTATAATCCAGTTTTGATAAGGAGCTGCTTAAGGCCAATAATCTAAAGGTATGGCCAAGGACCTTAATTCTCAATTTCTTATCAGTCAAAAATATATTTGAGCAACTTCTACATGCCAGGTTCTATTGTACACTGCAGGGACACATGATGAAATTGAAAGAGTCCCTGCTCTCAAGATGTTTACATTCTGGGGGAGCGGGGGGAAGGGAAAGAAAAGGGGGAGGACAGAGAGTGATTGGCAAGTTCTCACCTAATATGTGCGATGTTAGAGTATACAGCACACACCCTGGGTGAAAGGCTCAACTGCAACTTGAACTTTACCTTAGAAACAAAAACAGTGTAACCTAAACATTTATACCCTTATGTCAATCTGAAATTTTAAAAAATGATGCTTACTTTGTATAGGGGGTGATATATAATTTATAAAAAGTAAATATAACACAATAACTAAGAGGATGGTTATGTGTTAACCAACTATGTTAACCAGTTTGATGAAAGTATTTCAAATTTTATATAAAACCAGCACACTGTACCCCATGACTGCATTAATGTACACAGCTATGATTTAATAAAAAAATTAAAAAAACAAAGATAAAAACATAATTACAAAATATCTACTGTAGTTTCACATAAAATAATGAACTCATTTCAGTTGAAAGTATTATTTAATAAATTACCAGTCCAAGTTGTGACCTTAAAAAATAAATAAATAAAAAGTAAAGATAGGACATATGGAGATATATGTCAGGCACTAATATGTGCTATAAAGAAGATAAATTAAGGCAATAGAGTAAGCAGTGACTACAGAGCTGCTTTAGCTGGGGGGGGGGGTTGGCTGAAGACCCTGAGTGATAGAGAAGTTCCAATGTGAATGGTGAGTGGGGAGTTAGTTGGCTTGGAAGCATGGAAAGGAGTTTGGATTTCATTCTAGGTGGATGATTTTCCACAGGGGATTGAGGCATTCTGATAGACACTTTCACTAGATCACTATGACTACCAGATGAAGAATGGACCTACAGTGTCAAGGACAAAGGTGGATAAGTAGCTACTACAGAACTTTGGGTGGGAGAAGAGGGGGCTTGGACTATGACTGTACTGGTGGATGTGGTAAGAAATGAACAGTCTCAGAATATAATGTGGATATTGACCTTGATAATCTAAACTAGAAATCAGAGACAGAAAGGAATAGATAAGGAAGGCTAGAACATTGGCTAATCAACTGAGCAGTATCTGAGGGTGACATTTATGTAGCTGTTAAGGCTTGATAGCAGAATGAGGCATGGGGAGTGAAAGTGTGCAAAAAGACTTCTGTTTGGGACATGCTATTTTAAGGGTCTATGTGATATCAGATACCAGTAGTGATGGTTGGTTGGATAAGAATCTCTTTGATAAATTGAAATCATTTCCACTCAGATCAGGAACCAGGCAAGGATGCCCATTGTCTCCGTTGCTCTTTAACATCGTAATGGAAGTTTTAGCCATCGCAATTAGGGAAGAAAAGGCAATCAAGGGCATCCATATAGGGTC